CGCCATGGTAGGTATAAGAGCTGTGCCCAAGCAAGCCCCTGCCCCAGTCAAGAGCAGGTTCGAAGGTGGCCCTTTCCACCTGGCTCTGTGTGCTCAGGGCTGCCCGCCAGCCCAGGCAGAGCCACTCCCTGTCCGGGCCTAGAAGGGCGGGCCTGAGCGCGCTCAGACCACCCTCCACCAGGCTGGCCTCCGCACACACGACAAATGGGTTGCAAATGTACACCGGCTGGCCCGGAGTTTCCTTGGAACCGGTTTACCAGTAGGCGCTGCCTGATCCCCGTTCATGGCCCAAACCCGTGTGTCATAGGTGTACCTCTTCAAAGAATGGTCCCCCAACTCTATTTCCAGGAGAGTTGGTTATAGAAAGCTGGCTGCCGAGGGATCGAGCCAGATGAATCCGGTGACGGCTATCATCGTCTTTAGAGCCTCTTGAGGTCCGCTCAAAAGGCTTCCCTTAGCTTTCCAGAGGCACCTAAGCGACAGCCGGCCCCCCATCCCACGCTGGACCTGCTCCCGTTTGGACGTGATGCTTGGAACTGTGTGGCAGCCATATTGCAGCCATAAGGCATTAACGCCTGAAACACATGGCCACATGGAGGGGCGCGCCTTTCAGAACAAACGCCGGACGTTAAATAGGGAAGAAGCGAGGGAGAGTGCCGGGGAGACAGCCAGCAGTCCCCAGGCCCGTGCAGCCCTGCCATCTGACGTTCTCTTCTGGGGTCCCCATCCCTCGCTCCAGGAATCTGGGTGAAGTGACCTTAGAGACGCAGCTTCCTTGAAATCAAGGCCCTCAAACCGAGAGGGATCGCGAGCTGCAGGGGCCTCGCAGCAAAGGTTTGAGAGCGGATCTACTGGCTTCGGCTCCGGCTCCGGCCTGGGCAGAGGCCAGGGCGCCTGCAGGCCGCGGCCTTTGCAGCTGAAAAACGTTTCCCAATGCGCTTTGCAGAGATGTTGACAACCAGGATTTTATGTCGAAGCACAAGGACTGATGACCGCATCTGCTCACGGAAGGTCAAAAACAGGCGCGTTTTATTTATTCACAGGAACGACTTATTTACAACGCTCAGATTCGGACTATGTACATAACAATACAAGGGCGGCTCTTCCAGGGGTCGCTGTATAAATTAGGATTATAAATACGAGGGGGAGTCCCACCCGAGGGCGCTAGGCCCTTCCTCCTAGACCGGGAGCCTCAGGGCCCCTTCCTCCCGCGCTCCGGCAACACTCCGGCGACACGGCAGGGACGCCGCGGGAGGCAGAAGGCGCCGGGCAGGTGCGCGCGAAACCCGTTCTCACTGCAATTACAGAAACGCATTCTCCTGACCCAAAGCAAGGTCTTTCCCAAAGGGAGGCCCTTTGGGCCTCGGGGTGCCCCGTGCTGCCCTCACCACGCCAGGCCTGCCTGCATCCCCAAGGCCCCAGCGGGCCCTGGAGCCGACCGAGGGCCCAGAATTGCGGGGCGCCCCAGGCCGGTGAGGCAGGCCAGCAGCCCGGCCCGGTCCGGCACCGTCGCCTTTGTCAGCGTGATTTCCGGTGGATACCTAGCTTCTTTCTTTCTCAAACTCCCTGCACCCCAAATGACTGTTGGTGGGAAATCGAATCACAGACCTAGAACGGTGTCACGCACCATTTCCCCACCCCACATGACGGCCAGAGGCCACCCTGTCCTCGCCGGAGCTGAGATACCTTCACTCGCAGCCCCTGACGCCCCCTACTGAGTCATGGACTCGGCCTGATGGTAGGGCTGAGGTCCCAGTGAGGCACCCCCTCCTCAGCAGGGGTGGGTCACCACACCCAAGGCCATGTTCCGGAGACTTAGCCCAGCCCCCAAGGTGGCCCATCCCCGGGGTGCCTCGACCACAGCGCCAGCGTTGCCCGAGGTGCACTGGTACAAGGGGAGCCATCAGGAGTCTGTGAACTATGTGCAATGCAGTGACTCAGGTGGGGGCCTGGCCAGGGCTGCTGCGCCACGCCAGGGCTTTTGTTGAGGGCAAACCCCTTCCCAGGATGTGGCCTGAGCTCCAGGAGGTGTGAGCCTCTTTGGAAGGCGCACGGAGGATACAGTCAGTATTGACGGCCAAGACCCTGTGACGGGAAACCGGTGCCCCAGGCTTCAGCCCCTGCCCTATACCCCACCTGAAAAGGTAACCCTCTACGGGCACTGCCCCCCCCCCCGACTGTTCCAGCTTGGTCTTGGGGTTGGAGCTCACACCGCCTGTGGCTAGAGACAGAGGCGACACAGATGTGTTGGTCTTGAAGTCTGAGTCCCTGCAGCGGCACTGTCAAGACAACAGCCTTCAACCCCCAGGGGGTAAGAAGCAGGGGCCCCACAGCCCTGCCCACCCACAGCCACACTTGCCTGGGAGCATTGGCCAGGGAACCAGGCCAGCCTGTCCCTCACCAGCACCCAGGAAATGTCTACACACAGACACTGGGGGGAGAGGGGAGGGCTGACCACGTCATCTCCTGTCTCCAGGGAGGAGCGGGGTGCACCAGGCCAGGCTTGAGGGACTGGGGACCTGAGGATGGGCCAGCTCGGGGACACAGCCAGCCACTGCCTTCAGTGGGAGGGGCTTCTCCTCTCTCTTCACTTCAAATTAACATCAACAGTCTGGGAAATGGATCCATGCCATGCGCCACCTGCCGACCAGGAAACTGCAGGCCTTTGTGGGCAACCTTCTCCGTGAGGGGACGGCAGGGGGAAGGAACCGGCTCGAAGGCAGCTGCGTTGGTGTCAGGCCCCACGGGGTGGGGTGGCCGAGGGGTGGTAGCACCAGAGGGCGGCAGCCTCAGTCCCGGGCGCGCAGCACGCAGGCCGCCAGCGTGGATGCTAGGCCTCGGCGGCCACCCGGCTCAACTCCTTGATCCCACACAGGATGCGCTTCATGTGGCCCACCTTGGTCACGCCCAGGTCCTGCGGGGGAGGGGACAGCCATGGGTGTGGGGTGCAACAAGGGTGAGGGCCACTGAACGGTGACACAAAGGGGCAGTCGGCACACCTGTGACACCACGTCCACGCCAGACACATTGTCCCCTGTGCTGTACAACATCACTGACTCGTCAGGGACAAGCCATTCAGGACAGAGCTGGGCAAGTGGACAGCACGTAACACGGAGAGCCACTGTTCATGATGCCCGAGGTGGCCTGTCACTTCTTGGGACAAAGGTGGCAACTCGAGGCCTAGACTTGGACGCCACAGCCGGGCAGGAAGACGGCCCTGGTATCTGGGGCAGTCCTGGCTGAGAGCTAAGTGAGCCCAAGACAGCGGAGGCCGTGACTGTCCCCGCCGCCAGTAAAGGGGCCAGAAGGCCACCTTACGGACGACGTGCTGCAGGAAACACAGCCACCTCGCGTTTGTCTGGCTACCACATCAACAGCCCGTCCTCACCTCGGGTCAGTCTGGCAACCGTACTAAACAGCCCATCCTGGTTCACCAAGTCCTGACTGTGAACTCGCCTGGTCACTAAGATGTATTACCCCAAAATCAATATACTGGCGGGCTCTCACTGTCACTCATGCAGGTTGCATAGTAACTGGGTCACAGATGCACGAGGCGGGCTGGGAGCTCGAGAGCGGAGCCCCAGAGCTCTGCACAGTAAGGACATCAGCAACCCCCGGGGAGGGTGCCTCTCACCAGAAGGTGGTGCGCACCACAGCTCTTCAGCTGGGACTCAGCAGCTTAGGCTACTTCCCAAACAATGTTTTCAATGTTAAAATGCTCTGCTAATTAAGGAACTCTGGTGGTGGAGTGCCTAAGGCATTTGACTGCTAACCAGAAGGTTGGTGGTTCAAACCCATCTGCCACTACACAGAAGATGACTGGGCAATCTACTTCCATAAAGATTTACCACCTTGGAAACTCAAAGGGGCTTGCTGAGTCGGAATCAAGCTAAGGAAATTAGTCCTTCCTCCCCAGTACATGTACTCCTAGCTTTGCCTGGGCCAGGTGGGGCCGCCACGTCCCCTGTGGTCTGAGGAGAAAGCTGAGAAGCAGCAGGACTGTAGGACACAGCAGGTGGGGGAAAGACAGAGGCCGCGTGAAGGTGACCGTCAAGTACCTTGAGGTCCCTCCGCTCCAGGTGCAGGAGCTCGGAGCCCCGGATGTCATGACGTGTGAAGATGTCCTTATACTCACAGAGACTCAGGTGGTCCAGCCAGGCAGCCACCTCCTCTGTCCCCCAGAGGTGCACTGTCAGAGACGGAAAGCAGGAGCAGTGAGTGCCAGCCCGCGCCCACAGCAGACCCTGACCCTGCGCCAGCCCGGCCCCGTCGGGAGAAGAGGCAGGGTCACCAGCTCCGGGCGAGTGCGGCAGCGGAAGCAGGGTCGTTCCTGCCAGGCCAAGGAGCAGCTTTCGGAGGGGCATTTTCCAGCATGCCCCAGGAGGGAGCGGAGCCCCCCAGATGGGGGCAGCATCGCCTGGCTACAGTGACGGGACCCCTCAGGGGCCCTGGCAGGAAGGAGACATGCAAGATTCAGATTTCTGGTCATCACACCCACAATCATGAACAGAAACCCAATTTCCTGTCGCATGTGCTAAGAAAATCAGAAAGAGCCTGCCCTTTGTGGCAGCCAACGCCACCCTCAATTGGGGCGGGCACAGGGTGGCGGAGCACGAAACACCGATTGACTGACACAAAGCAACATCCCTGAGCGCTCTTGTCCGATTTCACCAGCCACAATCACCAGCCCGGAAGTATGATTGACGCATCCATTAGACAGTAATCAGCAGGCGGAGGGACAGGCCCAGCAACAGGTCCTGGCTGGCAGCCTGAGTCTGGAGTGTTTGCATCTCCAAGGTTGTCACTGTCACCTCTGTCCCCTCCCCCCGCCCACCATCACACCGTCCGGAGGGGAAGGAGGAGGTGGGGCCCTCACCCTGGAGGGCGCCTGGAAAGCATGGTCAGGACAGAGCGTGGTGGTGGACACGGGACAGGAAGGGCGTGGTCGGCGCTACAGACTGACCACTGGTGTGCACTTTGGGGCCAGAAGGCGCAGGGATGGGGACAGACGGGCAGAGCCGGCAAAGGCCGAGCAGGGAAGCAGACACGAGGCCGATGGGCCAGGGCCGCTGGCGGGAGGTGGCAAGTACCCGGGGCTCCCAGGCTGCTGCGGGCTGCTTTGTTCTTGTTGTTTTTCTCCTTTTTGAACTTGGTCACGAGGCGAAATTTACCGCTGCGGCTGCGTTTGGAAAGATCCAGCACTGCACCCTGTGGGGAAAGGGAGGAGCTCTGAGCGTCCGCCCGGCACCCCAACCTCAGGACAGGCCGGGCCTCCGGCTCAGGGAGGCGGCAGAGGCTGGCAGGCCAGGAAGAGGCACCTCCAGGCTCCGCAAAAGCCTGGCCCCTGCTTTACTCCCAATTTTCAGGGCTTTCACAAGTAGTTGTGATCATATGGTGTCCATTTTGATAGTGGTGGTTTTTTTTTATTTCATAAAATATGCCCATTTCTCATGAGATTTAACACTTTGTAAACATTAGGTGAATATTATTCTCCAAAGGAGCTCTGGTAGCGCAGTGGGTAAGGCATTTGGCCGCTAACCAGAAGGTCTGAGGTTTGAACCCACCAGCTGCTCTGCAGAAGAGACTGGGCAGTCTGTTTCCATAAAGATTTACAGCCTTGAAAACATTTACAGCCTTGGAGGTCAACTATGAATACAAATCGATTCGAGGGCAGCGAGTTTGGTTTTTTTGGTTTATCATACTGCAAGCTGGTGATTTAAACCCACCAGACACTCCACAGGACAACAGACCTGGCAGTTTGCTTCTATAAAGGTGACAGCCTAGGAAACCCAGTGGAACAGTTCTGATCTGTCCTACAAGGTCACAGGAGTCGGAATCAACTCAAAGGCAACATTCAGTTGTTGTTTTTTTTTTTTTTATCATACTGTGATACACAAACGTTATGAAATAAGTCATTCAGCCAACCTTCTAAAGTTGGAGTGTTTGGTCATTATGACATCAAGATCACCTTTTTAAAGGAACCTCCCCTAGCCTATTAGAATGTAATTAAATATTTACGGGTCAGCAGGGAAGAAGTCTAGTTTACGGAGTCACTCCTTGTGTCCTCTCCAACACAGCACTACCAGCGATTTCTGTGCACACACAAATGCAGCAGCTTGCACTTACACATGGGTGTCACCCAGCACTACTAGAAAATACAGTGTAATGCCCTTCTTTTTCAAGTGCAATAGTTTTTTCTTGCCAGGGCTGACCTAGATTCTACCCTAGATTTTACCTGAGCAATATACGAAAGATTGTCTGAGGCCATCCCTATGGCTTTGCCCCCAAAAACAGACTTGACTAAAATTCATTCTTATATACAACACAAAGACAAGAATGTTTATGATTATCAAACCTGGTCATTCCAAAAACATTTTTTCTGAACATTCTGGTCTTGATCCATTAGCTCCAGGGGCTACAGAATCTTCCAGTGCAGGATTCATTTCTGGCCTCAAACCTGAAATCTCAGCTCTAGTAAAGGGACCAACTAGACTGGAAACAGTTCCCGTTGCTGAGCTGACTACGTAGCTCACAAGCTTTCTCAGACCGTGGAGAACCAACCAACCTCCAATGCAAACAGATGGCCTTATAATGACAACAGCTAGATTTAAGGCCTTAGAAACTCTATGGGGCAGTTCTACTCTGTCCTATAGGGTTGCTATGAGTCAGCAGACTTGCCTTGAATATAGTGTAATCTGTTAAAACATTTAGCTACTGGAATACATAAAGTTTCTTTAAAAAACTATAAAACTACAATTTGATGGCAGTGGGTTTTGGGGGTTTATCCAACAAAGTAAATCCAAGCCCTATGAAGGAACTGAATGTGGTACTTGCAATTATTGCAAGAAATCTGGGCAATGGAAAAAAGACTGCTGCTACAAGTTCAAAACTAATCAAAAGAAGCTGTATAAACAGGAAATCCTTCAACCAGATATGGAATGAAGGGAATCTGAAGACAAAAAAGGGACTTTTCCTATAGTTGCACGTAACCATCAAGGATAAACTACCATGCATATTAATGGAGATCCTTGTACATTTGTAATTGACACTATAGCCGCCCTATCTTCAATTAACCCCAGTTGTTTACAAAAGCCTCTGCCTCGGAGTACAAAAACTTGAAAAATTGTGTATCAAGAGCAATCTTTGATACACTCCCAATCTATTCCTATTTCTTTAGGTCTCACTGAAGACCTTTAGCCCAGATAGTGCTGTTAATTTGTTAGGCTGTGACCTTTTGTCTACATGGGTCTGCCATTTACAATTTTTGGAAAAGGAAGACATATTTTTAAGCTATTGAGAACCCCCAGAATCCCACTGAGGGATCTAAATCAGAGCTCATTCCGAGGGAAGAAGCTGCTTGTGGTGTGCAAACACTGGTCACGCATGAAGAAAGTCCAGTCCGTCTGACCCTCCTCCCCCTTTTTGCATCAATTCCTGAATACCTATGGGCCACCACATCTACCGATGTGGGGCATGTTTTACAGCAAAACCCACTACAATTCAAGTAGACGCCTCGAAGCCTTTACCAAGGTTTCCCCAATACACCCTCAAGTGAGAAGCTAAAGGAGGAACAGCCTCTATCCTTCAGAACTTCCTTTTGAAAGGATTAACTGCCCCCTACACCAGCCCTGGTAACACCCCTGCATTTGCTGTTAAGAAACCCAACAACAAATGTTGGTGGTTTGTTCAGGATCTGCAGGCTATCAACCACATTGCTATTCCTAGATTTCCCATGATCCCAAACCCCCATTCATTACTTTGTAATGTTCCTCCAGATGCCACCCATTTTATAGTAACTGACATCTGTAGTGCTTTCTTTAGTATCCCTGCCTGTGCACTCAGAAAGCCAGTGTTTGTTTGACTTCACCTGTGAAAAATCAACAATTCACCTGGACTGTAATGCCACAAACTTTTATTTAATCTCCTACTTATTTTTCTCAAATCTTACATGCAGACTTGCAACCTTTACAAATTACAAATATGTTCACTCTACTGGAATATGTTGATGATTTACTAATCTGCTCTGCCTGTCAGCAGACTTGCCTTGAAGATAGTGTAATCTTGTTAAAACATTTAGCTACTGGAAGACATAAAGTTTCTTTAAAAAACTACAATTGGCCCAACTTTCTGTCAAGTATTTAGGTCATTTAATTTCTGCAGAAGGCATTTCTATTGATCCTTAGCAGAAAGAAGCTATTTTTGCATTCTCTATACCTGAAACCAGAAAAAAATTACAGCTGTGAGTGTTCTTGCATTCTGTGGCTACTGTAGCACAAATCTCTTCTTTATATTGAGGTATAATCCATACTGCAGACTGTAGTGTCCAATCTTCACCTTTCAAGTCATCCTTACTTTCAGCAAGCAAAGTTGTGTCATCAGTGTTTCTTAGGTTGTTAATGATTCCTCCTCCAATCCTGATACCATGTTCTTCTTCATATAGTTCAACTTCTCGGATTATGTGCTCAGCATACACATTGAATAAGTATGTGGAAAGGATACAACCCTGACACACTCCCTTCCTGATTTTAAACCATGTAGTGTCCCCTTGTTCTGTTTGAACAGTAGCCTCCTGGTCTGTGTACAGGTTCCTCATGAGCACAATTAAGTGTTCTGGAATTCCCATTATTTTCAACACTACCCATAGCTTGTTATGATCCACACAATTGAATGCTTTTGCATAGTCAATAAAACATCTTTCTGGTATTCTTTGCTTTGAGCCAAGATCCATCTGACATCAGCAACGATATCCCTCATTCTACATCCTCTTCTGAATGAAGCTTGCATTTCTGGAAGTTTTGTCAATATACTGCTGCAACCATTTCTGAATTATCTTCAGTAAGATTTTACTTGCAGGTGATATTGATATTGTTCAATAATTTCCACAATCTATGGGATCACCTTTCTTTGGAATGGGTACAAATATGGATCTCTTCTGGTCAGTTGGCCAGGTAGCTGTCTTCCAAATCTCTTGGCATAACTGAGTGAGTGGCTCCAGCAGGGCATCCATTTGTTGAAACATCTCAGTGGGTATTCCATCAATTCCTGGAGCCTTGTTCTTTGCCAATTCCTTCATTGCAGCTTCGACTTTTTCCTTCACTGCCATTGGTTCTAGATCATATGCCACCTCCTGAAATGGATGAAGATCAACCAGTTCTTTTTGGTACAGTGACTGTGTATTCCTTCCATCTTCTTTTGATGCTTCCTGCATCATTCAATACATTGCCCATAGAATCTTTCATTACTGCAACTCAAGGCTTAATTTTTTTCCTCAGTTCTTTCAGCTTGAGAAATGCCGAGCGGGTTCTTCCCTTTGGGTTTTCTAACTCCAGATCTTTGCACATTTCATTACAGTAACTGGTTTGTCTGCTCAAGTTGCTCTTTGAAATCTTCTGTTCAGCTCTTTTATCTTGTCATTTCTTCCATTTGCCTTAGCTACTCTCCATTCAAGGGCAAGTTTCAGTGTCTTCTTACATCCATTTTGGTCTTTTCTTCTTTTTAATGACCTTTTGCTTTCTTCATGGATGATGTTCTTGATGTCATCCCACAATTCTTCTGGTTTTCAGTCACTGGTGTTCAATGCATCAAATCTATTCTTTAGATGGTCACTAAACCCAGGAGGGATACATTCAATGTCATATTTTAGCTCTCGTAGACTTGTTTTAATTGTCTTCAACTTCAACTTGAACACATCTGCTTAGATTTCCCTAATTACCATCTAGAGTTTTCTCTATTCGTGCATGAAATATCTGGAAATGCTTTAGGTGTGCTGACGCAAAAATGGGAGGCAACAGAGGCCTGAAGCTACCTTCTTTTCCTTAGAGCTGTAGCTGTCACTGCCAAATCAGTAGAAACTACTGCCAGCACAGCGCTGGGTCATTTTCTGGATGTTGACATGCCCACGCTGTATTGGCTTTACTTAATTCTGTTGTTTTTTAACTTTTAACTGTGATTTGGGTGAAAGTTTACAGAGCAAATTGGTTTTCCACTCAACAATTCATACACATTTTGCTTCAGGACATTGACTGCAATCTGTACAATGTTAACAGCTCTCTTCCCACTTCCTCCCTGTGGTTACTGTTTCCATCCATCCTTCTTTCCTATCCCTCCCAGCTGTCTGAGCTTTATTACTGTGCAAGGCTGCCCTTTGATCTCATAAGGTTGGTTGTTCTAGGGAGTGTGTCCTTGGTGTTATTCACCTTATAGGCCTATTGTGTGCCTGAGAATTGAGCCATGGGGGCCATAGTGTCGGGGATTCCTAAGTCTTTCAGGCCAGTAAGCCTGATAATTTTTATTATTTTGAGTTTCAGTCCACATTTTTCTTCCCCTCTATCCAGGACCTCCTACTACGGCCCATTTCAGAGTAGTTGGCAGTGGCAGCCAGGCACCGTCTGGTTTTTGGGTTCTTGGGTTGTGAAGTCTGGGATTCGTGTTGTCCGTAAGGCCTCTGAACTAACTGCCCCATTCGCCTCTGATTTTCTTCATTCTGCTTTGCTTTGGTTGGGGAGACCAACAGTCATACCTTAGTTAGTTCTGTTTTAACTCAACATCTTTCTAATAGCACACTCAAGTCTTACAAAGTCCTTCTAGCTACCTCCAATGTTGGACTCAGTTCTGTGGCTGACCTGAATCTAACCACCCTTCTCCCCACTGTTAATGAGAATACCTCTTCTTCTCATGATGGTTCAGAGTTAATTGAACAATTAGTGACCCTTCAGAAGGACATAAAGGAAACTCCTTTAACCAACCCTGTTTTAGTCTGATTTGTAAATGACTCTTATCTGAAGCCTACTCCTAGTTCTCATTAACAAGCTGGGTATGCTGCTGTTACAACTTCTACCAAAGTCTTGGAAAGTCAGGCTCTCCCCAAAGCCACTTCAGCCCAACCTGATTGCTAAACTGACTGCTCTCCCTAGAGCCTGCAGGACTTCTGGAGAGTGCGTGAATATTTTTACGAATTCTCAGTAGTGTTTTGGAATTGCACGTAATTTTGGTTATAGCAACAGATGATTTCTAACTCTTCTGGAACTGCTATAAAAAAATGGCACTTCAGTGGCAGACCTTCCAGATGCTTTGTTGCTCCCTTCTGAAATTACTGTTATAAAAATGCAAGCTCCCCAAGCAAAGGGAGTACCCCAACTGCATGGCCACTAAACAAGCTGCTTCTCAAAGTCTCTCAGCTCTCATGAAAACCAAAGATGGAGATTATCCAGATATATCGCATATTTTGCCCTTTGTGAATTACTTTAGAAAAACACCTAAAACATCAACAATTAGCCCAAACTGAGGAAACTGAGACCTAGAAAAGGCAGGGCTGCCACCAGGATCCCAGTCCTAAACTGTGTACTGGACCAAACATGAAAAGGGTCTTCCCCACATTTTTATGTGTTCCTACGACATGAGCCTTACATGGTCATTCTCATGGGGACAAGATAAATGAGTGAGATCAGGAAAAGATACTGGTGGGGACAGTTTTTTGAGGCCACTTTACACATGACTGATTACTGCCCCCTATGTGTCTGCTGTAATTCTCAGAAACATTTTACAGCCCACCTGGATGATACCCTCCGCAGTTTGGGCACGTGCTCAGATGGCAGACAGACTTTATCTGGTTTTATGCATAGTTACGACCATCAACAGTTACACAAACAGATTGGTGATGATTTCAAGATTTTCACATTGAAAAGCAGCTCTCCCCTGCCAACTCTGCCAAGAAACTCCTTGAAAATGTTGTATCTACTTCAGGACACCACAGACTCCACGTCCATGTTTGCACTATAACCTACACTGCCACCAGCAGGCAAGCCTTCAGTGGGCTGGCTTTGTTGAGCCAGCCTCACCCCAGCTTACCTGCACTTCAAGCCTTGTTTTCTCCTCTCGCCCGTATTCTTTGTATATTGCCTTTCTTGTCCCCTTCTGTGTATTTTCAAGGGGCCTCAGACCCTTCTGTGTACAGGGTGTGGATGAAGGGGGAGACTTCTCATCAGGGGCCCCTGCTCTCACCTGGACCCAACCTCCTCATCCCTTTCTTCGGGGTCTTGTCAGCTTCCTCTAACTTCTGACTTGAACACTTAGTTATTTCTTTGTTATAACAATCGAAACATTAAGGCTATAAATTTACTTCAATGCAGAGTGCTGGTTACACCTTAAAAACTGACGTCAAATGTTAATTTTCTAAATGGCCTATAATTAGACACTGGAAAATGTATGGTTCTTTAAGTTTCCGTTTCCAAATGGTTGAAGGTTGTATTTATGTACTTGATAGCAATTCTAGTCTCGACAGCAGAAGGCATAAGAGCAGGAAAATGCTCCGGCTGGTTGTAAGCACAAGCAGAATAAAGGCTCTGTGCTCAGTGGGTCCAGGGAAGGGGAACGTGAGTGCTGCAAAGAGCTGTGCTGGAGGGTGGGGCGGGAAGAGGATGCGGTGGGAAAAACGCAGGGCAGGAGGTCTACATCACCCCGTGACCAGGCAGGCCCCAGGCTGTGACGCCAGGACTGTGCAGGCCCTGGGCCACAAGCCTCCCACTGCAGCAGCTGCTACAACACCACAGCAGACAAAACCACTAGCCCTTCCTGTCTTCACAGAAGGGCCAGCAGAGGCACTGGGAGCACTGTGTCGAGGGCTGTGCGGGCTGCACTTGTGGCCACGTACCTCCTCATCCCCTGGCTCGGGGGGCTGGCAGAGCCAGGGGGCATCCGCCAGCTTCCTGAGCTGCAGGTCCGTCTCAGCGAGAGCCGCCACCAGCCGCTCCTTCTGGGGGGGATCCAGCTGCTGCTCAGTGGGAAGAGGCACAGCTGTTCACTGGGCAGTGAGCGAGGAGCCCCCACCCCCGGTCCCCGAGATGGGGGGTCTTCTGCTTGGGTGGAGCTTCTAGGGAAACTGAGTCACAGAGCAGTGCATATGGGGCCTAACTCAGAACCTCCCCTTTGGAAGCAGTGGAGCAAACCATGCCTGCCTGGAACTCACATCCACCAGGGGCTTGGTTCACTGTGTGGTCCCCCTGTCCACAAGGAGGCCAGGGGCAGTTCACCTACACCCAGTGCGCAGGAAGACAGTGAGGCAGGAAGGCCACTGCTGTGACATTTCAGGAGGCAGTGGGATGTTTCAGAATGAGATGGGAAGACAGTAGAGAAGCTGGAGTTTGGGGCATCTCCAGTCCATGCCTTTGAGCAAGTTGACTACCTCCTCAGGCAGGCGCCACCCCACCCTGGCCTTGCCCTATGTGACTGTGACACCGGGCCTCACCAAGGCAAACTCATTGGACGTGGATGAGGAGGGGACGGGCACTGTGGCTGCGACCATTATGGGCGCCACCACCCCTGGGGACTTCTAATCTGCCAACTGGGACAGGAGAGTGGCCGTCAGTGAAAGCTTACAGCCTGCACAAGACACCAAGAGGGCACAGACCCCTCCACGTGCCAGGACCAGGAGGCAACCGAGGTTCCCCCCACGCTGAGGTCTGGAACCCCAGAGCAGGGATTCCGGACTGAATGTGAGCCTAGTGGAGCCTGCAGCTGGCCGCCCACCTCACCGGAGCCACCCTGCGGCTGGCCGCCCACCTCACCGGGGCCACCCTGCGGCTGGCCGCCCACCTCACGGGGCCACCCTGCGGCTGGCCGCCCACCTCACC